ATACAATTAGAAATAAAATGTTTAGTGTGTTCATAATAAAAACAAGTAGGTGGTTGCTTAAGTCAAGGTGCTTGGGTAGGAGCTTTAGCATAGTTTACAGAAGTGGTAGGAGCAGGTTGTTGTTGCTGAGCTAGGTTAATACTAAGTTGAGCAATTTGATCAGTTAATTGCTTATTAGCTTGGTCTGTTTCTGAAGGCATAGCAGTAGCTATAAGCTTTCTAGTTTTCCATCATCGAGCAGCAGTGATGACAGCATCTAGGTCTGCTGTTTCAGATGCTTGAACATTAATAGCATATTTTGGTCATAATCCTTAAATAAAGAGTTAAGTAACAAAAGCAGTAGGAAAGGCTGTAGCAAGATCTACTTTCTTTTGTAGAGATCTAAACCTATTTATATAAGCATCAACACTGTTTGTTTCTTGTTTAATGTCAAATAATTGTTTTGTCAAATTGTTTTCTGTTTAGGAGTGCTAAATCAAGCTTTGAATAGGTGCTTAAAACTTCGGTTTGGGGTAGCATCATCATTGTAAACATTAGACTGAGGGTTCAGACTTTGGTACCAGTCTAGAGCAATGCCTTTCATGTATACAGAAGCAAGTTCTAATCGACGAGCAGCATTTTAATAGTTTGCTGTACCAGCCTTTTGAAATTCTTGAAGTCAGGTAAGTGGGTCTTGAGTACCATCATCTTGGAAAGGTTCTATAGTTAGTAAGACTTGTTCATTTCCACATCCTAAAGCAGTAGCTAAGTTATTAATAACAGTAGCTGCATTTTGTAAAGCTTGGTCAGCCATGTTCTCAAGTAGGCCAGGAAGGTTGTTAAGGATAGGTGGATGTAGAGGAAGGAGTTGAGGTTGAGGTTAAGCAACAATAAGTTAAGGTTGAACTAGAATAGGTTGTAGTTAAGAAAGAGCAAGTTGAGGTGGAGGTGAAGAAGGAGGACTATCTTCAAAAGCCTGTAATAGTAATGAGTCAGTAGGAGTATAATTTGAGCTAGAGGTTTCTATAAGATCCACAGAAGCAGTAATATATTCTTCAGTCTCAATATTATTAGTAATGAGTAAAGGAGGTACTGGAAAATTGATTAAAAGAAGCTGTTAATGAGATGAACCAAAAGGAATATAATTACTAGCAGAGTGTTTAGTGGAAGTAGCTATTTCACTATAAAGAGGTAGGCTATCTGCTAGGTTAGTTAAAAGTGGAATATCAGCAGTAAGAGTTATATTATATTCTTTAGTTAGAGGTAAAATAGGACTTCCTAAATCTCCTAAATGTTGACTAAATTGATCAGGTTCTTCAAAACTAAAACTTTGGGTTATGTCGATGTAAAGGTCAAAAGCATTTTGGTATTCAAATGATAAAGTAGAAACTTGTAAGAACTGAGTATATTTTTGAACTAAGGCTAAAGCAATTTCTCTCAGATTAAAAGTATTAGATTGATAATGACAACTAAAAATAATATCTTAAACACAAAGATGAAGTGCAATTCGATTGGAGTGGTTGGTAAGAAAAGCAAAGTTTTTCTGAGTTTTAGAAATATGATACTTAGCATAGAAGTTAGTTCTATACCAAGTCCAAAATTTTTTAAAAGATGAGTGAAGACTAGTGTAGGTAGGCCAATAACACTAGAGACAAGATAGATCTGGATTGGTTGCTTGAAGCATGTCTACAGTGAGATGAGTTCTAGTTAAATGGGCATTCTAGTAACTTTGTATATTTTTGTAATGGAGTTTAGCAGCAGTGTGAATCATAAAAGAAAAGTTCTCTCTTGTCTAAGAGAGTAATTAAAGAAAAGTATTTTAATTTTAGAACAATACAGCTGCTATCTTCTGAGACAGTTATGTTCAGTGAAATTAATATGGCAGCTATCTTCTGAGACAGGTTATGTTCAGTAAAAATTAATATAGCAGCTATCTTCCGAGATGAATATGTTTGGTAAAAATTATTCAGCAACTAGGAATTGAACTGGTTTTTATTTTTGTTTTCCACTAGAAGACACCAAATGTTACAGTAGGGAGGCCTTCTTTAACTCCTTACTATAACAATAACATGGCTACAAAGATCCTTTACAGGTTTATAGTAGTGTTCAAGAGGGAAGTATAGTAGCTTTAACTATTTAGCAACTATACCCTTCTCTGGGCAGTTTAGTTAAGACAATACAACAGTTTATAACTTTATTAACTTAGAAGCAATAGACCTTGCCTGTAGGAATTACCCTAGAGGAGGAATATCAATATAGTTTATAGATAAAGATAATAACTTTATTAAAGAAATAAGACTATCTGTTAGGTTTCTGTTTCTAAGAAATCCTTTTACACTTTACAAAAGTTACTAAACTAAAAGGTAAAGGGTGAGAAGTGTCTGTAACTTGCTTGACTTGAGGAAATTCTTGGGGTTTATATATCTATTAATAATTATTAAAGCTAAGCATCAAGACTTAATAATTATTAGAGCAAAGCATCAGATATTAGATGTTAAACAGCAAGTATCAAGCATTAAGTGTTAAGCATTAAGTGTCAAGCATTAAGTGTCAAGCATTAAGCATTAAGCATTAAGTGTCAAGTGTTAAGCATCAAGTGTTAAGCATCAAGCATTAAGCATCAAGCATTAAGCATTAAGCATTAAGTGTCAAGTGTCAAGTATTAAGCATCAAGCATTAAGTGTCAAGTGTCAAGCATTAAACATCAAGCATCAAGCATCAAGCATCAACCACTGTAATTGATTTGTTCTACCTAATTCAATTAATTTTTTTTATTTCTTTATTGTTCTATTTTTTTTTAGTTGATTTATTGTTGCATTGATTCTGTTATTGTTTTTTCTATTATTAATTTTGGAATGGCTTTTATATTGTAATCTTGTTGAATCCACTTTTCACATTTATCTATCATTTGTATTTATGTGTTCTCATAACCTTTGCATTTGTTTATTTCTGTGAATATTTTCTTTTTTCCTTATGTGTTAACCAATACTCAATTAAAACTTTTCTCTTTTTTCTTAGTTACTTTATTTAATTGTTAATTATTCTTTGGTCTATATATAATTCATTTTTTTCATTTTTTGTCTATTAATATCTTTGTCTATGTGATCTTTAGTGTTTATGTATTATAATTGTTTACTTTGTATTAATTATATACTTCTTTGTTTACTTGTATTATTAGCATCTTTTTCTCAATTTTATTAAACTATTTTGACTTTTTTTTTTATATAACCTTTCTTGAAAACTTTTAAGCTGTCTTTATGTAATTAACTTTTTGTTTTTTGGATTTATTAGCTAATTTAAATAGATAATCCCTAGCTATTTATTTTAATACTATTCATTTTTCATATTTTTTGCTTTTATTATATCTTTTATTTTGTTTTTATATTTATAAACCCTCTAGAAGCATTCCTTTGTTCTAATGCTTATACTTATATTTTTTGATTTAGTTATTGTTTAACATATTAAATTATTTTTTTAATATTTCTTCTTTTTTAATTCTGTTTTTGTATTTTATGTATCTTCTGTTAAGCCTGCAGTTTGGCAACCTTGAGTTATTCTAAGTCTTGTTAGTTTATTTAAACTATCTTTTTTGTTCAGTTTGATGAATATACTGATTATTTGTTTTGTTGCATGTTGATCTTTAAAAAAAGATAATTGTAACTCATTAGGTTATTAAAACTCTTTAAAGAAAAAAATTATATATCAAAAAATATATAAACTAAAAGTATAATTGAATTTATTTTTTTAGATTATCTGAATTGAGAATTTGGTAAAACTTGAATTAAATATTAAAATAATAGAGATATGTAATAAAATAAGTACTGAGCTTAAAATAAACTTTACAAAAACATAGAAGTTTAATAATAAACTTTGACTGCAAGTATTGGTTTTGATTATAATATTATCAAATTAGCTATAAATATAGAATACAAAAAATTCTAAAAGGTTTAGTATAAGATTAAAAGTTTTTTATATAAGTGAATTGTTTTTAAGACTTAGTGATCAAAGCATATTTTTACCAGTATTAATTGAGATTATTGATAAATATAAATAAACAAATTAATACAGAAACTAGAGTATTTAAATAAGAAACTTATAAGCAAGTTTTAGGTATAACAGCTAGTATAGAAACTTTAGATAAATTATTTAAATTAAACAATAACTAAAGTTATAAAAATGATTAGTTGTATACTTTTTTCATGATTGCTTTCTGTGATTATAATGCAACTATTAGCTAAATATACTATCAATAAAATTTTGAGTTACAAGTACTTACTTTAATATTTAAAAATATATATATATATAATAAAAAACAATAACAATTATCAATAAACAATCTTATCTAACAACATTGCTTCAAATAACTAAAAAACTTTTATATACATAAAAACTTTGGTTATTATTTTTTATTATCATGATACATATGTAAAGAAAAACCACATAACAAAGCACCAATAAAAAACAAAAAATTTGGGTTGTAATCTAAAAAAAGCCAACTAATAAAACTACTAAAAAATACAGCCATACTATTAGAATATAATTTCGTTATGTTTCCACTATATTTTATAATCACAGATGAGATAAGACCCAATGAACAAGTAGAAACTATTATCAAATAATGAATTGGAAATAAAGAAGAAAAAAAAACAAGATTACTTGTTGAATTTTTGGCAATTAAAGAAAATGTAGAGAAATAATACATTAAACCATTAAATAAAGTTCCAAAAATGTATAATTTAATATTTTGTAAATGAATACTCTCATTTTTAAATCTGTGACTCATTATATATTCAGTATATACACCAGCCATTCCAGAAATGCAACTAAAAATTAATATTAAAAAAAGTCCAAATGAATTCGTTGTGATCTCAGGTTTACCATCAGTTGAAAAATGAAGTTGTGATAATACAGATCCGAGAAATAACAAGCATAAAGCAATCCATTGAGTTTTTGATAATTTCTTATTTAAAATTATAAAATAGAAAAATCCGGTGGCTATAATTTTGAGATTTCCAAGAACCATGAAGGTTGGAGGATTCATTACGGTGAGAATAATAAAAGAAATGTTATTATTTATAAAGTATGCTAGGGCAGGAATGCTAAACAAGAAGGTTTTGGGAGTTGTAAAAATAGATTTTAAAGAATGGATAAGAGAAGAAAATGTTTTTAAGAAAGTTAAAAAGAGAGAGTTAGGTCTGGTAGGTGAAATGTCGAAAGGTATGATAAAATTTTTATTTCCTAATTCGAATGCTAATAATGCAATTGAAACTTAAAATTTATCAAATTAAAAATTGGTGGGTTAATTACCGGATTAAAATCATGAATAGCAATAACGATAATCAAATTAAAATTTTAATAATTACCAATAATTTTTATAAATTCTGCCAAAAACAATAATTTCATCGAATTAGGTTTAGTCTCATCTTTTAAATTTGCCATGCTTACGAAAACTGAATCTGACGCATAGAACACGCACAGTAAAAAAGATAAAATAATTGTGCTATATCTTTGTTTTAAGCTCATGCAATTTTCCATTGTCTTGAAATTATTAATTCTTGAAATTATAAATTCAAATAAGGTTATCAGTTATTTCAGTACTTTGATTGAAATTATTAATTCAAAAAAGGTTATCGGTATATTTTGATTATTGTGAATATAAGTCGTTTATATTACATATTATATCATATGTAATATACTTTGTTTACTTTTAAATTTCTAATTAATGCATTGTGGGTATTTGTATTTTTAATACCACTGAATAATTTAGTACATACCAATGTACAGTACCATGCATACAATGCATCTAGTTCATTACCGTGGATCTCAGAATCTTCTTAATTAAAATGTTTGCATGTCATAAAATCAAGGTGTGTGTGCGTTCAACTTTTTACTTTATATGATATAAACTCTTAGCCATGTACTATACCCGGGGTCTATTAAAATTTACAGGCCTGGGTCTTGTATGCGGCAATTTACGGTACTTCCATTTTGTGGGACGTACTAATTTGCTACAAGTATATATTTAGTTTAGTCTGACAAATGTAAATTATTTAAAGACCAATAGTGGTAAATGCAAACATTTGGTGTGTACATATATATTTATTGTTATCAAATTATAGACCATCTTGTAATTTTAGTTGGCCGAAAAATTTTGGTATCAGCCCGTATTACTATAATTGATGTCAGCAAATAGGAAAGAAAGATGCTTAAAATGGGTTTTAAAAAATATTTTATCCATTATTAAATTATATGTACGTATCAAATTATTCGCATATTTTGAATATCATCTGATTCTCTTGAGTGTTATTGATGCAAAATTTTACATATGCATAAAGTTGGTTTTATACTACGTACCTTTGTATATAAATCGTACTTATGCATACTTAACTTTGATAACGATAATTGTAATGGCTTTATTAATTTACTACAATAGTTTTTTTTATATCTATTTTCCTAAGTACAACGTACACATTTCTATTACGTAATAGTCAATAAAAGCATGTAATAGTATTCAACACCAATAGAAACTATAGAAAAGCGAAAATTGAATTTTAGAAAATACAAAAAAAAAAGATACGATTTATTATATTATTGATATTAGGATATCTAGTAATTTTAATGGGCAGGAAGTAGTGTCTGTTCTGTCAATCTTACATAAACAAGGTACAAATTGATGAATTTAAATGACTTTCCATTTTCAAAGTCTGCTTTTTCCGTACTAATGATATGTTTATAAAACCGCTACTTTCATATCTATATATCTATAGATAAATGTATATATGCTATATAAAATTAATTTAACACATAATTATCAATCAATCGCTATGATAAGAAATAAAAAAAGAATAGGTTTTTTCTTTATACTTTCTATACTGATATTTTATTTCCATCTACATGTAAAAAAACCTTCTTTCGAGAAGTTTGTAACTTTGGAACAAGATGCTACCTGCAAATTACCAAAATGGCCAAATTTCGTTTCTGATTATAAAATATTTGTCGATATTCAACGTGGTATCTAAAATACTAACATATGCGCAAATTTTATAATAAAAAGGTTTTATATTTTTATATAATTTTTTTGATTTTTGATTTTTTAAATTATTAGGCCCTGGGATAGGTCATGTGGTGTATGATAAGGAAGAAAATGCCCAATATGTAAACGTTACTGGATGTCCTGATGAATCTACATTTAAATATCACTATAAGTCTATGGGAACAGATTGGACTATTTGGGATCAGAAAAATGATAGTTTATTTAGGCTCGAGGAGGATTACGTATTCCTTCAATGCACTGATGGATCTAACGCTAGTATGATAAGAAAATTAATCAAGGAAGCAGATGCTGTATATAACGAAGAACTTAGATGTATGTACAAAACTCATTTAAATAAGATATTGATCATGTGGCACATTTTAGCCAATCATTTGCTTTGGCAGAATAAATTATCTCATGATTTACAAGTAGTGATTGGCTAGCTGAGTTACTGAGTTTAACTCGGGATTAATGTACAAAAAATAAATTTGCACGATAAATATATATTCCGTTTCAGAGTTCTAAATCAATTAAATAAATCTTCTAGCTCATTTATCGGCTGCCAATAATCCAATACATCCTCAACCTCTCGTCGATGATGTAGTAACCTTCCTTCTTGATGCTGAATGTAGAGAAAAATTCAAACATGAATTTGTTCATGTAATGGAATTTTTTCAAAATATAGAGAAATATACAGGAGGATCTTATAAATGGTTCTCAATGGAAAGATTCAATGTCTTGGAACAAAATTCTTTAACAAATAAGCCTTTCATTTATGCTGGCCAAAGCTTACAAAATTTAGAGTCTGAACAAAAAGGGAATTGGCTATGGGATATATTTGAGGAACAAGGTTTCGTTATTGCTCATTCAGATGGACAATGTAATAAACTTGACGATCCTTTATCTGGTGACATGGTGTATTATTATATGCAAGAAAAAGCACGTGATGGATCTAAACGTACACAACCAGGAAACCATTTCTTTCCTGTAACTTCCATTTGTGATAATCTTTCCATATTAGAAAATTTTGATGCTTCATGCAAATTCCTAAATGGCACTGATAGTTCATTATACATGGATGGTTTCACCTTCGGATATGCTCCATATTGTATAGGTGTAAGTAATATCGATTTAATATTGATTTTGGTTATCAATTTCGGACACCTTATCAAGAACATACTTATCCAAATAATAAAAAGTATTTAAGAATAGATGCGTTCTTGATAAGGATGTCCGAAATTGATATCAAGCCCAAATAATTTACTTATTTGATTTCATTTTTTCTTCTTTTCTCTAATTTGATTTGTCTTTAATTAGGACAAGACATTAGCACAGCATACCCTTGATTGGGTTGAAGAATTCCTCATGCAATATCCAGGAAAAAACCGGTTTATAAGCTCAACCTATTTAGATACTCATATCGACGGACATTCTCATACCGCACTTGATAATGATCTAGTAAATTTACTTAAAAAAATGATTGTTGGTAACAAAGTGACAGGAGAAAAACCTTTACTTTCTAAAAACAGGTAACTAAATTTAAATAATTCAAGCTAGATTTATTATAATGTCTTCAAGAAATCCTAATTTTTTTTTTGCAGCGTTATAATCTTTCATAGCGATCATGGATTGCATTATGGTGACGAATACTGGTTTTTTGAAGGTTACATGCATCACCATCAACCTACTCTTATGATGTTATTCCCCACTCAGCTTTTAGATGCTCATCCAAATTTTGAGGCATCTCTTATATCTAATAAGTACCTTTTATCATCACATATGGATTTACATCAAACTCTTCTACATCTGGCATATGGTGGTTTCGGTGAAAAATATATGCCAGAAGTGTTAACCACCAATTTAAATGATTATAATAAATATAATAAATTTATAAATTCTTTCCTTGCTGATCCTTCTTTTCGAAAGAATAATCCAGATAACCTTGAAATTCGAACAGATGCTCAAATGTATGGGCAATCATTTCTGACGCCGATGGATAAAAACCGCACTTGTGGCTCAATAAATATTCCTTTAGATTTTTGTCCATGTCTTGAATACGAAGATCTCAACTATAGCGATAAAGAACAGATGGAAGATAAAGAACAGATGGAAAAAATTGATAATATAATTTCCTTGGGAGTAACTAAAATCAACGACATGTTAACAGAATATAATTTTAATTCAGTATGCCATACCTTTGCTTTTAAACCATCCAAAGAAGACAACAAAAATATTACTGTATCTTTTAAAAATGGGTTTATATCGTCTGAAAATGGAGTATACACAATCATCGTTAAAGTAAATGGGTATGATGCTCTATTAACATTTCATGCTATTTATAATTGGGTAGATGTAACACAAGGCACTAAATTTAGAAAAGAGTGGGATATATGCCAGCCAAGATTGAAGGAAATGTTGGGTGAATCTTTAGATGAGTATAAGGAAAAGTCTGCAAAACAATTTTGTTTTTGCTCAAAATAAATTAGATGTAATTTTATTATTTCCTGATAGGAGAATATATTTTTTAGAATGTAATACGGTGTTAAAATTAGATTTGTCCTATTTTTTTTTTAAGGTTTTTATTTAATTATACAATCTAATTTTTTTGTTTAATATTATATATTTTAAAAAGATGCAATAAAAAAAATAGATTACTTATTTAAATGTGTCGTTAATCTTTGAATCACCTCTTTTGAAGTTCGTAACAAATTTGTTTGTCTCTCATTTTGTGTATACTGTACCAATAACGATGAAGAACAATAAACGGGTATGCCTCTTCCACCCTCGAGCAACCTACGCAGCCTTACGAGTATCAGTTGGCTAATATAAGCTTTCTCATTATGACTTATTACTATTACTATTCTAGCAGTCGTCCCGACTGGCAATCTTACCATTGTGACTGTCATCCGAACAGGTCGCAATACAAAAGTTACTGCAAAACTGGAAAACCTACCCATTCTTGCCATTTCCAATATGACTGTCGTCAATCTGCTTAAACAATGCTTAATTCTCAGGAAGGGTGGATGGGGTCGATATAACCCGAACGAAAGTCGGGTTCGTAGGAACGACAAAATTACCCTTCAATACTTTCACAAATTACCTTAATATACTACAATCCAATTACCTCATAATTACTCAAATATCTCATAATTACAAAAGCACTAATCGCATGGATCATACCCTCATCAATGACCGCATTACCAATTACTTAAATTACCTCATACTTACTAAATACTAATTTTCATCGATCAAACTCTCATCCATTACCACATTATTAATCACTCAAAATACCTCATACTGACATCAATGACCACAATACCAATTACTCAAATTACCTCATACTTTCGTTCGCTTTATCGACCATCGATCGAACATGTGATCATAATCGGGCCTATTACATGTTCGATCGAGTATCACATGATTCGAGACAAAAGCTGCTCCGATACTACGTATTGAGCAGCTCTTAATAAAAAATTAACCGGTAATATAAAAGTAAATTGACGTATAATAATACAACTCATAAAATTATAAAAAAAAGTAATCTCCGATATTTATCATTTTAATGTTTGATAATATATTGTTACGTACTACTAACATTCAAAATTTAGACCAAATACTGCACATATATGTTGAGAATGGATACTAAACATAAATTAATTTCAACTATTAACACTTAAGCAGTAACAGAAATTTTATATATCTAAGTTACAGTATTATTTGCGAATTTTTATATTTAAATAATCGTATTTATTAATTAATAATCTTTCATATACACTTTTAACATAAATACTAAAAAAATATTCTATTTTAAATTAAGTTTTTAATTATTTTATTAATTGGTTTTAAAATAAACGTTGCATTATTTTTATTTTCATCGTAAATCTATTAAATTGGCAATATAACGCAAGTTAGTCATCAAACAATTGTTCGATGTCCAGGTCACACCACGAGGAGGTTTGCATCTGTGACCCAAAAGGAGTTAAAATCGGGGATAAAAAATTATAAATTTACAAAAAAAGAAATAACAGATTTAAAAAGTATATTCGATTATTTTTTTAATTCATTTATTTCTGATTTTTTTTTAAAAAAAAATTCATAAAAATGATAAAATACGATATCGATAATGTACCATTATCGATAAAGTGATTCGCATTTTATAGGCCTCTGATAGCGAATCAATGGTAAACAGAAAGAGATGCTTCGTAACAGAAATTATTGCTACTAATTGCGAAATGTACCATCATTATCTCATAGAAAGTCGGACCAGTTTATATAAACGATCTACGAGACTAGACTATATCACAATTTCGCCATGCTCTAGGGTGAAATGTGCCATCATCATCTCTTAAATCGTTGGGTCCAATA